TCACTACATGAGAGACTGCCGCGAGAAAACGCCGCTGACGGGGAACGACAGGAAGGAGTAGGGAAATGGGAATAGTCAGTAATTAGCGGGCCTTTTACTGACTGTGCTCCGTCGCCCGAACCCCACCATCCCCACCGAGTCGTGGTTCCGATTCATGCAATCGATTGCACTCAGCCGAATAACGGGGATACACATGTGGATCACCCTGTGCTGGTCGCTGGCAAGGTGTTAAAAAATAACTTGAAAATGTTCGTCGATGGAGGGGCCAGCCATAGCCTCTTCAACTTGGCAAGCGCAAAAAAATGCAAGCTGCAACTTGACAGGTGTCTGCCCGAAATTGACGCCCGCTTCGTGGATGAGACGCCTCTGGCGATAACGGAAGAAACACGGACGGTCAGGATCGAATGCGGCGACGATTTTGGCTTCAGCATGAAGTTTCTCGCGACAATATCGGACGGCTGCGACGTGCTGCTGGGAAATGATTGGCTGCGACGGCACAACCCCGTCATTGACTGGACAACGGGATCGTGCAGCATCAACAAGCACGAGGGGCTAATTAAACTACCTGCATAGACGCCTGACTACATCCAAGTCCTGTGCGTCAAAGCTGTCACTATAGCTCGCCACTATACATCCAAGTCCTAAGTGGCATTGGGTGAGAAGGCTCCTGGACAATGAGGTGCGGCTGGAGATTGTGAAGACCCATCAGCAGGTGGCTGACATTCTCACCAAGCGCCTTGCTGAACCTGAGCATTGGAAGGGCATGAAGCTTGCTAGGATGAGTGTGCATTGAGGGTGCAAGCTTGAGCTATGGCATGTGGGGTGATGGTAGGCAGCCTAAGGGGGAGTTTGTTATGTGGTGCTATCATTTGCATTCACGTCTGCCTGCCTCCCATCATATGTTCGTGCGTTGCATGCGTGGTCTGAGCGTGTGCAAGAATTTGTGTTAGGTGTGGTTTCGATTCTCTGAGTTTGTGTGAATGTTATTTGGCTTAAAAATATATCATAGGTGACTCCTCTGTTCAAGAGCTTTCCGACGAACCAAGAATTGTTGCGATTGGAGCAAGAACGACAAAATTATATTCGTTCGAAGTTTTGATTGGGATGCGACGACTTTGGGAAGTTGTGAAGTGACTCAATATGGGGTACAGAGTTTTGGGGGTTGGGAAATTCGTCCCCATCACTGTAGATGCTGCCAAAAGGTTGGGAAAAACCAAATTGGGTTGGCAAGTGTGGCCAACTTGGTTGAGGTGGATTGTGGAGGTTGGGAAAGTGACAAATGTCAAATTACTAAGTTGGGGTACCCATAGAGAGGGGAATTGCGTGGCATGGGGTTTCCTTGGTTGGGGACTCTCTTGGAACCTTCTCTCTTATCCTTCTCATCCCAACCTACCTGGTTTCTAGCTACTCCAACTTTCTTGTGTGGTACTTGTTGAGAACATTGTGATTGAGTTAAGTTCCTATGGCAGCATACACCCTAGTGCGCCGAAATCGATGACTCGAGATTTACTTCACCTCTTAATACGATTCAACTTGGGAATTGTAGCTACGACTTAGGGCTACAACATATTCAAAGTTGGTGACGTTTGAACAGTTCATTTTTTGTCGACGGCGTTTCTCGTGAACTCGACTTTTGTGTCTAGAATTCTAAGCCAAAGATTTTGAGAAATTCAGGACCTAATCTTCATAGGCTCCGTCCTTAGTCTCTAATATCCCCTTGCGGAGCAAAGCATATAACGGCAGGGTTTTGATCAACTGGATCATCACAGTTCGTCGTCAGTTGACCGCGCGGTTTTAGCAGGAACTCCACGTCCTGCGACTGCACTCCGACGGAGGCGGTGAGTTTTCCTCCAGCATCCTTGAGGACTTTTGTCATGCAGAGGGAATTGCCCGGTCGTTCACGCTTCCGGGCTCCCCACAGCACAATGGAATTGCTGAGTATTGCATTGGCTTGATCATGGAGGTTGCTCACACCTCCATGATCCATGCGGCTGCTCCCCATTCTCTGCGGCCGTTTGCGGTCCGATTCACCGCGCATCAGCTCAACCTCTGGCCCCGTGTCTCTGTGACAGAGACCTCGCCTACACTGCGTTGGACGGGAGATGATGGTAATGCGTTGTCCTTTCAGGTCTGGAGCGCACTCTCCCTTGTCCGCGATACCAGCGTGAGCAAGCTCTCTCCTCTCACTCTCTGCTGCGTCTTCCTTGGCTTCCCAACCGACGTCCCGCCCTGGCAGTTTTACCACCCTGCCTCGCGTCACATCCTGACATCACATAACATCACATTTGACAAATCGGTCTGCTTCTACCATCACACGCACGTGTCTTCTTCACTCTCCCCGCCGCCCCTCTTCTAGTCCCTGGTCCCCACCGAGTAGACACCCTCCCCCCATAGGGTCGTGCTCCCTCAGGTGTGTCTTTGGTCGACCCACCCCCCTTGGTTGAGCCTTTGGGGGTCTCTTCTGACACCTCTGGCCCATTTGAGGGGGATGGCCCCATTGCTGATGATATGGCTGCTACTCGCCGCTCCGCGCCCTTGGAGACCCCTCCTGGATTTCCGCCTCGGCCGTCTTCGCCGCCTCCGCAGCCTATCGCTGTGGACTCTAGTGCTGCAGGGGGTGGTAATATTGGGGGTGCGTACTCCGGAGGTGCTGGTCCTGAGGTTGCTGACTCTAGGGGTGCTGAGTCTGGGGGTGCTGGTTCTGGAAGGTGCCGGTTCTAGGGTTGCTCACACTAGGGGTGTTGCGAGTCCTAGTGGTGGTGGAGTCCTGGGTGCTCCTACTGGGGGTTCTGGTATTGGACACCAGCAGCAGTCTCATCGACACGAGACCTTCTCACTGCAGCAGCTTCGCAAATGGGTTGTTCGGCGGGGCCGGGTTCCTGGAGCTTGGAGTACTTGTGCTGGAGGTGCTGGTACTGGGTGTACTGAAGCTGCTGGTACTGGAGGTACTGGAGCTACAGGTGCTGCAGGTACTGGAGCTGCAGGTGCTGTAGGTACTGGAGCTGCTGGTTTTGGAGGTGCTAGAGCTGGAGGTGCTGGAGGTGCTAGAGCTGCTAGTGCTGGAGGTGCTAGAGCTGGAGGTGCTAGAGGTACTGGAGCTGCTGGTGCTGGAGGTGCTAGAGCTAGAGGTACTGGAGGTACTGGAGCTACTAGTGCTGGAGGTGCTAGAGCTGGAGGTGCCGGAGGTACTGGAGCTGCTGGTGCTGGAGGTGCTGGTGCTGGAGGTGCTGGAGGTACTGGAGCTGCTGGTGCTGGAGATACTGGAGCTGCTGGTGTTGGAGGTGCTGGTGCTGGAGGCACTGGAGGTACTGGAGCTGCTGGTGCTGGAGGTGCTAGAGCTGGAGGTACTGGAGGTAGTGGAGCTGCTGGTGCTGGAGGTTGTAGAGCTGGAGGTACTAGAGGTACTGAAGCTGCTAGTGCTGGAGGTGCTAGAGCTGGAGGCAGTGGAGGTACTGGAGATGCTAGAGCTAGAGGTGCTAGAGCTAGAGGTGCTGGAGCTGCTGGTGGTGGAGGTATTGGAGGTACTGGAGCTGCTGATGCTGGATGTGTTAGAGTTGCTGGTGCTGGAGGTGTTAGAGCTGGAGGTGCTGGAAGTACTGGAGCTGCTAGTGCTAGAGATGCTAGATCTGGAGGTGCTAGAGGTACTAGAGCTGCTGGTGCTGGAGGTGCTAGAGCTAGAGGTACTGGAGCTACTAGTGCTGGAGGTGCTAGAGCTGGAGGTGCCGGAGGTACTGGAGCTGCTCGTGCTGGAGCTGGTGGTGCTAGAGGTGCTGGAGATATTGGAGCTGCTGGTGCTGGAGATACTGGAGCTGCTGGTGCTGGAGGTGCTGCTGTTCAATGTCCGTGCAAGAATGGATGACAATCCAACACCATACCACAACAGATTCACCATGTCGCGCAACACAATAGCCCGAACGCTGCAATGTTTCACTATCTTAACATGGCTGTCGATAACGCATCGCTACTCGTGCGTTGGGCCTGTGCTTCATACCACTCCTTCTAAGCACCTTGTTGAATGTCTGTGCAAGAATGGAGCCCGATCCAGCACCATACCCGATCCAACACCATACCACATCGGATTCACCCGATCCGGAACCATACCACAACGGTTTCTCGTCTGTTACTATTGATCATCGTGTTAGAATATCGTCCGCTGGCGATAAACCGTTGTGGCAAACCCTACAAGTGCGCAGTACATCTGTCACAAGTAATACTTCTGGACGCTCGTTGTGTGTGTGACATGAGACAAACCGACTACCTTACCACAACCCCATACTAGACCATTAGCAACTAAGTGTATGATGAATTTTATTGTTGTATGTTTGAATTTTATTTAGCTCCTATGTGCAATACTGTGCGTTCGCGACAACACTGTACTTTGCAGGGATTGGGTTAAATTTGCACTTTTGGGGCCAAAATGTTTCTACCCTGTGTAGTGATTGATGCGTTGGCAACTGTGATTGGCCGACGCATCTCAAACGATTCCCCCCGCAACACAAGCACCAGCCAAGAGGTACTTCTGCCATTGAGCGGCTGAGATCGAGTGGTACGTGGGTTTATGCTCGGGTGGCTAAACGTACACCTTCCGATATAGCCTGATAGGGTTACAGTAATCTCTCTAGTCGCCCAACCCACCCCAACCACCCTCGTGCCCCACCCACCTGCTTCCGTCACCCTCTGGACCAACACAATGACGCTGCTCGCTGTTTGACACACGCGTGTCCAGATCGCCAATGACTCACCAGTATACTAAGTCATGGGTCGTAGCTCTGTGCTTAGTGGCTACTATGTCAGTTCTAGTTGAAGCGGCGGTTTTCGGAAAGAGATAACAGTCATAGACCATCGATAACCCCTTTGTGGGATTCAATTGCGGTACCCCTTCGAAACCGGCTCAACCGTTCTGCGTGATAGAAATTTGCATTCCTACAACAACCATGACACGTGCAACGCGTCAACAAGTAATGGAGGAGGAACAGGCCGGGCGCCGCGCAACAAGGAGGATGTCTAAACAGATCCATAGGGAGGGTGGTGGCAGCGCTAAAAAAACTAATGCGTCCGTCGCGCGTGGCATTAGGCTGAAAAAAGTGGCGGCAAATAAGGTCGAACGTGGTCAAGAGAAGTCCGGCAAGAAGGCGTAAGACAAGGGGAAGCAACCAACGCCACGCAAGCGTGTTTCTACTGTGAATAAAAATGCGGATATTGCCTATGCTGGAACCGAGCCCGGTCCGAGAAACGACGGCACCACAGGCAGCAACGAAGATCCGGCGCAAGGGAGCGCGAGTCTTGCAGTCCGGTCGGCGGAGAGAGAGGGATCAGCGACAGGGGGAAACCGTGGAGACGATCCCCGCGCCAAGCATGCCGCAACCAAGGAGTCCAAGGCGGAGGCATCACAACACCATCTGACGCTGCTCCAGCCGACCGTGGTCGAAGTTTCTGCAGCCGTGCTGGATAAGGACAAGGTGGGGGAGCACGAGTTGATGGAGGATCCTAACCACAGCATCGCCGACGTTGGTGGCTCTCCTCCTTCTGGTGGACGGGGGAGGCGTAGGCAGCGGAAGATCAATAGGGAGGATGATTATGACACCACCGTGCCCGGGGACATCACCACACGCGCGAAGAGGCGGCAGACGACAGGCAGTGCTGACGACGCCGGACGCGCGGAAGTTGGGACAACGCGAGGCGCCACGGAAGCACTCAGCAAGGTGGGCGGTCATGCATTGCGCCAGAAGGGCCGACCCGCAGCAAGAAAAACATCTGGCGGAAGGAGGGGCATGAAAGCAGCAACGAGGACGAGGCCGAAACGGGGCAATGAAGACCCTGGTGATGCGGAGGAGGAGGATGAGGAGGAGGATGCGGAGGAAGAGGAGGAGGAAGAGGATGCGGAGGAGGATGACGCAGATGTTGGGGAGGATGAAAAAGATGAGAATGATGGTGGGGAGGACGAAGAGGAGGAGGAGGAGGACGAGGACGAGGAGGGCAAGGAGGAGGAGGAGGAGGAGGAGGAGGAGGAGGAGGAGGAGGATGAGGAGGAAGATGAGGAGGAGGATGAGGAGGAGGAGGATGTGGCGGCAGTGAAGGGACGGGGCGGGCATGGCAGACGGGTGAGTGGTAGAGGGAAGGTGGGGGGGGCGGACTTGCCATTCCCGAAAATGCGGGGCAGTTGACGCCGCGCGCGGCGAAGCAGTGGGCAAGCCGAAGGCGCGTAAGGTGAAGGTCGAAAGTGAACGGGGTGGTAAAAATCAAGGGAGCCAGGGAGCAAAAGGGGATGGAGGAGGAAAGGGTGGATGCACCAAAGGGGTTCCAGTGGGTACCGGCAAGAAAGAACTTGTTGTAAACGTCGCAGCATCCGCCAAAGCACCCCACGGGAAGGTGGCAACGAGAAGGCGCAGGCTGCAAAAAAACAGAAGGGACAGCAGAAACCGAAGGTTTTTTTGCAGCCTGCGACGGCACCCGGCGCGCCAAGAGGAGAGGAATCCGAATACCCTTCACCAGCCTCCGTCACGCACTCCCCGCTCGCCTCGCCTTCGTACCCATTTCGGCAACTCCACGATTCTCCTGTCCGGGGCAGGGCAGTCTCCCCCCTCGCCGGTCCTTCGCGCGGGCATCAGCTAGGCACATATGCCATCCCTTCTCTGAGCTCCCCTTTTCCCATCAGCGTGATAGTGTGAGGGGACACGGGACTGCTGCAGAAGACATTGATCCCCTTGGCCAGAGGGGGGATTCTTCACACCCTTTTCCTCCGCTCATGGGTGCCCTAGGTGAAAGTGCAGAGCATGAGCAGTTTGTTACATGGGAGGAGTTCCAGGCGCTGCGGTCTGAGATGTACGCCATGTTTGCACAGCTCGGCTTGCGTCGTGGAGTATCTGCCAGCTATGTCGGCGGGCCGGCAGCCATGCCTATGGCTGGTACCCGGCCGCCGATGAGTGCCGTGGACAAGGCACGAGTGCTAATGTTGCAGGAGACAAACCCATCCCCGGTATGTGGCAGGCCAAATGGGGCAGGTTGGGGTTCACGTGGCAACCAGGGCGGGGTTGGGGCTGACGTGGCGGTTTCGAAGAGTACACGGGAGCGGCGCGTGACGAGGCGACGCGTGTCAGGTGGGTGGGGAATGACGTGGCATGGGGTGGGTGGGTGTGACGTGGCACATGGGGCTGGTTGTTGGTGGACGTGGCGGATGCAGGAGGGTGTGACATGGCAGGATGTGAGGTGAGTGTGTGACGTGGCAGCTTGGCGGGAGCGGCGCGTGACGAGGCGACGCGTGTCAGGTGGGTGAGGGTTGACCTGGCATGGGGTGGGTGGGTGTGACGTGGCAACCGGGGCTGGTTGTCAGTGGACGTCGCGGATGGAGGAGGGTGTGGCGTGGCGGAATGTGAGGTTAGTGTGTCATGTGGCGGCTTGGAAGGGTACACGGGAGCGGCGCGTGACGAGGCGACGCGTGTCAGGTGGGTGGGGGGTGACATGGCATGGGGTGGGTGGGTGTGACGTGGCACGTGGGGCTGGTTGTTGGTGGACGTGGCGGATGCAGGAGAGTGTGACGTGGCAGGATGTGAGGTGACTGTGTGACGTGGCGGCTTGGAAGGGTACACGGGAACGGCGCGTGACAAGGCGATGCGTGTCAGGTGGTTGGGGGGTGACGTGGCATGGGGTGGGTGGGTGTGACGTGGCACGTGGGGCTGGTTGTCAGTGGATGTCCCGAATGCAGGAGGTTGTGACGTGATGGGATGTGAGGGTTGGGGCTGACGTGGCGGTTTGGAATGGTACACGGGAGCGGTGTGTGACGAGGCGACGCGTGTCAGGTGGGTGGGGGGTGACGTGGCATGGGGTGGGTGGGTGTGACGTGGCACGTGGGGCTGGTTGCTGGTGGACGTGGCGGATGCAGGAGGGTGTGACGTGGCAAGTTCACATAGTCCATCCTGTGGTGACGCGGCTACAGTCATAACTGATGGTTTCTCTCTCCCGTAACCCCCCGGAGCAAATCCAGTACTACCCTACACCGGAGGAAGTGTTCGAAGCGTTCGCTGTCCACTTGTCTGCAGAAGGGCTCGAGTCAATGAAGCTGCTGTGGTTGCACAATGACAAGTCTACCATGGGTGTCTTCAACCACCAGATGTTGTCAACAAGGTCAACAATCAACTCCATCATAAGGCCAGCAGCATACACCGGCATGGGCCTCTCTGATTACGCCCATCTCGTGGATAGCCTGCCCACTGAGCTACACCCAAAGAAGTGGTTCAATGACGAGCAACTCCTGGACGAGTACAGAGATGATATGCGCAACCCGGAAACACCCTATGCCCCATCATATGCCAGTTGGCAGCTACTAATCACCGTGCGGTGTTCCTCACCCTGACTCTCATCCCCCTACATGATTTCTCTGCAACCCCTTTCCAACCCATACCCTCCCTGCCAAAATGCAGAACAGTGGGCCCTCAACTGGCACTTTGACAAGGCCACCAGGACGCCCTTCAGTAGCCCCTTGTTCGCTTATGCGTTCAAGCTCTCCTTCAAAAGGGGCGGGGTCGTGTTCACCAAGTTCAAGAGCCGCATGGTGGCATGGGGCCTGTTTTCGGTAACGATGTATATATGTGTTTGCACACCCATGCCTCATCCTCTAAACCCCTTGCCTGTATTTCATCTAACTCCCTGGTCGCTTAAGCGTTTGCGGTTCCGTAGATAGTGATGCCTAAAATCACCGCTTACAGTTGGCTCATATACCCGTAACCCCCCCTCATACACCATCCAACCAACCCTACACCACATTGCAGATTGAGTGGCCCCTTCTGCAGGATAGGTATCGCAATTGAATTCCGGCCCAGCCGGAACAAAACAGGTCGGACTACTTCGAGTGGTGTGATAAGGTCAAACAGATGATACAATTTGCAGTCATGGAGCGGAGGATCCCACATGATCCGGCTCAGGGTGCGTTCATGTTCCCCAACAAGTTCCACATCGACGATGGCGACCTTGGAGAGGTCGTCCTTGCCCACCGGGCGCTTGCAAGGCCCAGCAGTGTGTAGGCTATTTGACCTGGTGCTAAGACAGCTTGTTGCTAGAATGCTGAATAATGGTTGTTGTCAACCTGAAAATTAAATGTAATCCTGAAATCCTCAATATCCAAAATAAAACAAAAACAAAACCTAGCTTTAAATAATATGGTCACAAATTTGCACCAAAACAGATTTCGCCCGAATGTCACTCGGAAAAGCTCGCGTGCGAAATTGAAACTTGACTCGAGCCAAAACTTGTCGCGAGATGTGTGTCGGAGCTCCTATCAAATGACTCCAACCGTCGGTCGAAATTGGGTCCGGATTTTTTTACGAGAAGACAATCATAGTCAAAATTCGTCCCAACTTGGCATAGGGTTTTTGTGCTAATGCAGGTCAAGGTTGTGCAGCTCACCAAGGTCAGTGCAAGTGCGTCTCCTCTGCGGTTCCTCCTTCATAGAGGCCAGCGTGCGTCAGTCGGGAGTGGCGAAGACCAGGTCGTCAACGTACACCACGACAAAGAACGGGGTCGAGCCATAGCGGACGAACAGCGATGGGTTAGCAAACGATGAAAAGAAGTCAAGCGCTGCAAGAGTCGTATGTAGTCTGTTGTGCCACTCGCATGGAGCCTGGCGCAGGCCGTAGACTGGTCAACGCACCTGCCACTGGGTCCCAGGTGGGAAAGAGCCAGTGAAGCCAGATGGGCGACGCAGCCAGATCTGCTCGTGTAGTCTCCCCTGAAGGAACGCAGTCGAAATGTCCAAGGAGTGCAACCCGCAGTCGCGCTGGGCTGCAATATGCAGCAATACCTGAAGAGTATTCATCTTCGGGATGGGAGCAAAGGTTTGGAGGAAGTCTACCCCCTCTCGCTGACTAAAGCCTCTCGCCACACAGCGCGCCTTGAACACTGGTGGTGATCCAGGCGGCCGCTTCACCTTGTAGAGCCATCGGCCACTAACGACATTCGTCCCAGGTGGTGGGACTGTGTCGATGTAGGTGCTTGTGGACCTAAGATGCCATCTCTGCCTCCTCAGCTGCTATCCAATACAAAGCCCAAAGTCCCGAGACCGCCTCGGCGTGAGTTCGAGGGATCCTAATGTTAAGGGCGTCTGGATCCCCCTCACGGGCAAGTAGCATGGTGCAGAGATGAGGAACAGTGGCCGCTAGGAAACCAAGCTCCAGGGAAAAGACAGGAGCACCCCCAAAGGACGGAGAACAAGCCACTCATCAGGTGAGCGGTGTAGTCAAGGCGGTGGGAAGAGGCAAAGCCAGCGACAGTGGTAACAAGTCCTGAGACAGACGACAGGGGTGCAGTCGGGTGAGTCACCAACGTTGACAAAACACGGGAGACGACAGGACGAGAGGCACGGAGGTAGTCGGACAACGTATCGTGTAACACAGCGAGGGACGACTCTGGAGGCTATGGGAGGATAGGAGAAGGTAGAACACATGAGCTGAGAACAAGTTGAAACGGACCGTCTGCACGGTCACGTGACCGACAGTGCTCTGGGGACACAGCACGACTGAGTGGAGAACGACGAGTCTACTGGGACGAAGAAAGGGACTGGACGGGGGGAACACGAGGGGACAGTAGCGGACCATGAACCAAGCGTGCAGGTGCGGGGTTGGGCAGGTCGCGCACTCTGAGTTGCTGCTGCTCCGCCTCCACTGGCGTCTGCAGCGACAGTGCCTGCCCCTGCTGCTGGTCTTGGGGCTCCTCCTTTGCCCTCCCCTGCTTCGGCTGCAGCTGCACCCGCTACTTTGATCAGGACTCCTGCGCTACCCTCTCCTGTGGTGGTCGTGACTCCTCGTCTTGCTCCTGCTGTGTCTGTAAGTGCACCTGCTGCTACGGGCAGAACTCCTGCTCTACCGTCTCTTCTTGCGGCCGTGACACCTCTACTCTCTCCTGCTGTGACTGCAACTGCACCCGCTGCTGCACTCGCGACTCCTCGTCTACACTCTCTTGCTGCTGCTGCAACTGCACCCGCTGCTGCACTTGTGACTCCTCTACTCTCTCTTACTATGGCTACAACTACTCTTGCTCCTACAGTTGTGACCCCTGCTCTGCTCTGTTCTGCTGCTATTGTGGCTCCTCCTCTACTCTCTCCTGCCACTGCGACTGAGACTGCTCCTGCTGCTGTTGCTGCTACTGTGACTTCTCAAACCGCACACGCTCCTCC